CCCTGTACATTCGAGTTGACGCAGAGAAGATTGACAAGGATGGAGATACAATGCGCAGAAGATTGACAAGGATGGATATAGAATGCGCCTAGTCGGCAATGCGCATGCTCCGACAAATAAAAGCGTAGATACGCGCGGGGACTGCGGGGTAATAATGAGCAGCTAAGCAAGCCTAAGTGAAAAGCAGTGAGAAAAATAACGATTTTGTGTGCAAATAGTTAACTTTATAAGTGATTCGAACGCGGTAAGATGCATTACTATATTTGCGCGCATCGGTTTGATTTGTCTTTGAGCATGCGCATTGTCGACTAGGCGCATTATATATCCATCCTTGTCAATCTTCTCTGCGTTAACTTTTCAAGCCTATGCTCCTTCCAGTAGTATATGTTCTAAGCTTTTTATATTTTTACTTTCTTTATGGACGTCCCAGAGAATCTGAGTGACAAAGAAAGAAAGACAGGATATTCAGAGGACGTTCTAGAGATGTTATTGAATAGAGCATTCTCATAGCTCTTCTCTGAAACATTCTGAGAAGGCCCGTGGAACATTCTTAGGATGCTCAGGGACGTCCTAAAGAGATGCGCCTCGAGATGCTCATAGAAGTTCCAGTATATCATCTCGTTTTATAACAACAATAATTTAACAACGCACCCCCTACACGATAGTAGGAGATGCGATGTTTCAACAGTCTCTTTTTTTCTTTATCTGTAAGACGATAAGACTAGTAACAAATATCTCTATTAATTAATAATACTGAACAGATTTTAATATAAAAAACCAGCGTTTAGCATGAAAAAATTTATTTTAATCTGAACGCGTCTTGTACTGCAGGTATTTGTATTAAAAGTGTACTCGTGTAATATAATAGTTCGACACCAATGTCGAATTTCGAGATTTTCACCGTAGAGCATACACGGTGCATAATGTGGGGTTTCAGTCATGACGTCACAAAGCTGAAAAAACCTTGTCAACTCTGAGCGAGAAATTTAAACTCACTGATTAATATTATCGATCGACTAAATGTCGAGTCTTTGCCGCAGCATGTTTTATAATAGCCGATACACTTTAGAGAAGAATTTAATGAAGGTGATAAAAACAAATGCGTTGCTATTGCGTAGCATTCGTATATATTTTATTGCACGTTTTACATTTATATATTAAATATTTTATTTTAAAAATATATGAAAAACGCGTCGCACACATATTTAAAGACAACCAATACAAAAAGATATTAGATTTAAAACGTAAGAGATTTAAATATTTAAGTAAAGAAAAAAGATTCTGATGTGTTATATCCATATATGCAGTCGATTTTGATTAATAGGGCCACTGGTTAATTAAGTCAGCCGTTTATTTGGGATAAATTTTAAAGAACAAATCCCAAATAAAAAGAAGATCGATGTTCGGATAATTGAGGCACCCGCTTAATTAGACCGTCCCGATATGTCCTAATTAACTGGAACTATATTTTCTTATTCTTTGATATAATAATATCACTTGTTGATATTACCATCAACTCATCCTGCCACGATCGATCGTTAATCGACAGTGTATAAAGGTGCACACGTACTTATCTTCACGTCAGCATCAGCGGTTTGTAATTTCACTGCCGCGTGTAAGGGGGCGCTGCGGTCGATCGGTCGGAATTTTTTGACCGTGGCGCGCTCAATCGATAGTTTTTATCAGACGCGGTTGCAGGTTGGTTCAGCTTGGTGCCCGGTTTTAAGGTTAGGGTTAGTGACTCTGTGACACCGCAGCGACGACGGACGACGGCAGACGACGAGTTTTCGGTGCGTAAGAAAGCCGGGCATTGCCCGTTTGGGCGTTGGGCCGAGAAAGTGCCGTAACGGACGCACCGTCAGGCGGTATTGTCCGTGGTCGGCTGAGAGAGCCCAGCCGTGCTGAGCGTAACGACGGCGTATCGCAACAATCGTCGTGACAGATCTGTTTGTATCGCGCGCACGACAGGAACGGAACGCGAGAACGCGGGTGGCATCCGCCGCGCGCGACTAAAAATAGAACGGCGCCTATCGCGTCGACGAACGAATTCTGCCGCGGACGTGAAGAGGAGGGATACTGTACTCGGAATCCCGAGGACCGGACACGCCGATGACACGAGGTCGGAACGCGTGACGCGTGAACGTGCTGCGGATAGCCGTCCTCCGTGGCGATTTTTTTCATCTGTTTTTCTCCGTGCGCGGAGTACCGTAATGTTTCTCACGATCGACGAATCTGTCACCGATCCGATCTGTCCCGCGTCCCGTTGACACGAGCCGAGTCGCTCGATCGAATGTTTTTCGATTTCGCGAGTGGCGCGAGTCAATCGGACTTGTATCAGCAAGGTGAGTAGATATCGCGTTGTTAATATTTATAATCGTTTAATAACTCTTAATTAGTGATGATTATACCAATAAAATATTGATAAACTTTAATTGAGTGTCTCGATTTTCAACTATTTTTTATGCAACGTAACAATTTTTTAACATTGATAAAAACTCGTTCTTTTTTTTATGGGCATTCTAAAGATTCTTGTGATATATATTTGATAAATTAAATTTACTGTAAAAATCGCGCGAAATACTTTATTAATATATCTTATTTAATTTTGTTGCAGAATTCCGAAGCGAGTGCGTCGCGCCTCCACGCGCAACGCAATTTTCGTTTACGTGATATTCACGGTTGTCGAATCGCGTGAACGCGATGATACCTCAAGAATTTTCGTGCGTGCGACACGCGTCGTCGCGTGTCGCGAGATAGACGCGCGTCGACGGCAGCCGAGAGAGTAATCGATCCCCGCGGTCGTGAAAGGAACCGCGAATTAAAATTCGACACGCGAAAAGTAATCAGGTGCGGATGAGGCGGGGGACGCGTAATGACGCAGGGCGCGATCGGCGAGAATACCGATAACCGTTCGTTACGAGATGGCTGAGCGCGAGCAGCTTCAGTGAGAAGATGTCGCAGACTGCGGATGCCGAAAGCGAGACGGGCTCCATTTGCGACGAGGAACGTGTTCGGAAACTGTTCCAAGCATGCGACGGCGACGGCGACGGATACATCGATAGGTGAGTGAAAATATTCCGAAATAAGTAAGCGACGAAAGATTGCAATCGGAGGAGCGAATAAATTCCCCGATATAGATATTTTTATACTGAAATCAAATTATTCGACAAAATTAATCCTCTGATTGCTATCGATCGCAGTGACATGTACACATTTTTTTCTCGATTAATTTCGATGGAAGAAAATTCTACCCCGAAGAGAGCATTTAACCGGAATTTTGGATGCTCCGATAAATTATTATTTATTCTTTTCACTATGAATTCTTTGCAATCAATTTTTCCGCGACACGAATATCGAAATAACTAAAGGTAATCCATTAAATTCAATTGTTCGCACTGTAGTGGCTGCCGTTATTCCATATTTCGCATTGCGGATGGATAAATTCCGCTCGGTGAATTCGGTGCGCGAACCTTCGCGCGGTTACGCAATTAACGGAGGCTGATATCGCGCGCACAAATGGAAAGAGCTCGTTGACGAGATTGTGCTTCATTGTCATGTACGTTTTAATTATTTTTTCAATTAATTATATCTCTCCCCTCTCTTTCTCCACTCTCTTTCAATGCTACGAGTTCGCTGATTTAACGAGAGACCGCGTTTTGTCGTAGCATATTTTTTTTCATCTTGTGCCGTTTTCGACGAGTGAACTGTCGAAATTGCTAATAAGTTTGCAATATTTTACAATAACGTACCTTTTGCCGCGAACTATTAACTATATAACTTCTTCACTTTCTTCTTTATTTTTCTATCTTGAGAGCGAGAACATTTTCTTGTTTCGAACAACAATTTATTTCGTTAAATTTACAACTTGATTCGAGAAATCTTTTCTGCATTTGACAAAGTCTCAAAATCCGGAAGTGCTTTATACCTTTGCGATCAGGTTCGTAAATTGGATTTCATCGGTGACGTTTTGGTTTTATTGCTTCGTCCATTTTGTTCATCGCTTGCCGTTTCCGTTATCGATGTCTCGATTTTCCCTCTGTTTTTCTTTCCGCGAGGGAAAACGAGGAAGCGCTCGGGCGATTCCTCAATATTGCGCTTCCAGCACGAGGCACGCGTTTCCCTCCTCTTCGAACTCACGCTGTTTTTATTTCTCTTTGATGAAGCTTAGGTGCAGTTTTTATTGCACTCGTCGAACATTACAGTCTATTTTGCCTCTCCCGCCCATCGCGAGTCAAGTTCCTGCCGTAGGTAGACTATAAGATCACGACTGTTTACACGGACTGTTTCCCGTCCGTATACTATAAACTACACAAACTATATCTTTATATTTATATATAGGAGGCAAACGAGAGGCGATATACATAGCTTTTTTCTCTCAGCCGTGCTTTTCCCGATCTGTTTCCACAAATGGAAATAAAGAATTTTTTCAATATCGCGAGAGACTTTTGAAATTCTATTTAAAAACAATTTTTAAATATTAAGAAATATGTATATTTTTTAATTGAAACAATGTCAACGTAATTGCGAAACATATAGACTGTGAAAATTATTGGAATATTTGTAGAATTTATCAAAGATAACACTTCGGATCCAGAATGAGTCTAATAAAAAATTGAGAATAGTTATCCGCGCGCTCCAGCTTGCGCATAATGAAAGAACTCGGTGCAAAAAGATGAAATTAAGACGCGCGCCTGCGAAACAGTATTAACGTAACTCTTCCCTCTTTTATCCCGCGAATGAGATTTATCGTCGGCGATTTAATTTCACCGCGGCGCTATAAAGTGATCGGATCTTCGAAGAAATTGTCGCGATATCGACGTGTGTTATTAACGAATCGCGCGCGATTGTTTCGAGATGCGGGCAGCATCTGCGAGATTGGAAACGGGAATGATTTATAATTAACCGCCATTCCCCGGTTAATAATTGCCTTTACATCGTTAATTATCGCCCCGGGAGAATAACATCGATTCGTTAACGAGCAATAATTTATTGCGCGTGCATGCGTCGTTGCAGTGTTTCATAGCGATCACTCGGCCGGAGTGAGTTCTTGTATTTATTTATTTTTTTTATTTTCTACTTTTACGAGCCACGCGATACACGAAGCACGAGCAATTCATCTAGCCTCATATATAAATGCGTTTTTAAGTGAGATTCGTGGAGTTAAGAAGGCCGGCAGGGCGGAGGGCAGAAGAAAGCGAGCGCGCATTCTACAAACAAATTAAGAGAGTGAACTCAGCGGCTGCCGTTCCTCGGTGAGGTAGAGAAAGATGAAACAATATTTCCCGACTTGTTGGCGTTCATTATGCCGTGCTTTCGTAACTTCGTTATACTCTCGTTCGCTGCTCGAGAACTTGGCCGCACGTAATACACATTTTTTGGCCTCTTATATCGCACGCGAACTTTCATCTTCTATAACTAATGCGCAAGACTTGGGACGTCCTCGAACTTGGCTTTAATAATCAATCCTTTCGTCGGTGAAAAATTAATTTTTATTTAAGCGCGCGGACTGTATTTTGCGTTATAAATTATTTGAAAAACAGAATCGAGAAACGTAAAATATATATCGTCACCCATCGTCGAGATCAACTGTTCTTCTTGATAATCATCGGGCGAATGTTGCGAATCGATGACCCAGTTTTCCGAGACGCAATTCGACATTTTACACGCGGCGCGACGTCCGAGAAGTCGACGGCGGCGCGAAAGGAGATTGTGTGTTTCTCGACACGGGCTGACAGACGAAAGGAGAGTCGATGTCGGAGGAGCGCGAAGGAGGAAGGGTCGATTCTGTCGATACAAACCCCCGTCGACGATATCCGGAGGGTTGGCCCGGAGCGAGCAGAGGGGCGGCCCGCGCGTTTTATGGCAAGTGAGTCACATCACCACCGCGATCAGGTTCCTTCGTCCTTTCTCCCTTTTCGTTTTGGTTATACGACTGCTCCTACGCGCGTAAGCCAGCCAGAGGCTTTGCGTTCTCGCAGACTCGTTTCGCGGCATTTCTGTCCTTCCTCCCGCTCCTCGTGTCCCCTTCGTTTTTCCTATCTCTCTTCTCCCCCGCGGCTGACTTTCTCCCGCCGTGCAAAATACAGTCGGCTCGCAGCGGTTACACGGGCTGCACACCCTCCCATAATGCAACAGATTTCCGCAAGCGGAAGCGAGCGTAGTCGTAAGCGTAAAATTTTGGTCGCCACAGCTACGCTGGAATAAAGTGATCGTCGCTCGAGCCCGCGCCTCTGATATCGATAGCAACTCGATTTCTTTACACCTTTCTTATCTTCCCGTTGCTTTTTTGTTCTTGCGAGACGATTTGCGGATAAATCCTACACCGAAAAAAAGAGTCTTGCGTAATATGAAAACAGAGTCATTATATTTGCAAAATTAATGCGAAATTATATTTTTTTTTAAATTTCGGGCGAAATAACGAAGAAATTCTGCGAAGAGCAGTAGCACCACTGACAGCAGCAGCTGTCTGATTTGTCATTCTACTTACGAAATATTAAACTCGTAAATAATTCATGGAGTGCAACGAGATCCGACGGCGGATACGTTCGTTACAATTTCGAGATTTCCTTGACTGCGACGTGGCTAACCGAATAATAGATGTACCTGGCAATTTACCTGATCCGAGAGTCTCAAGCTTGTTTGCATGCGATGGAACGTGTAAATATAGCAGAAAATTTCTTCCGAAAGAAACGCTACGGCATTTTGTCGTCCGAATCGATAAGGCGTCTCGACTCGTGCTCGGAACTCCAAAAAGGCGACTCGTGTTTGCCCTCGATTTCCTTTGCAAAAGAAAGAAAAAGACCATTTTTCTTCGCACATAAACCGGGGAGGTAAAAAGATGTGTAAAATTTCACGTAATATTTTATTTGCGAGTTCTGCGCTAAAATTGAGCGGCAATCGGAATTTTCCGTACTGGCAAATTGCGTTGCACTCCCGAAATGCGTTGCATTTTGCGGCACTTCGCCGAAGTTGTTTCGCGGCGAGTTTTTACACGCGGTCTGTAACTGTAATTTCGTTTTCTCGCGCTCGCGCTCGCGCTCTTGTAGCTTCGTTTATTTCACCACGCCTTGGCTCAACGGCGATAAATTTCGAAATCATCCCAACCAGTTGTCGTTATTTACGCTTCTCTCTTTCCGACAGAATACACACCCCGTCGCTATGCTGCGGAAATTTTGGTCTTATCAACGCGTCGTTGATGATCTCGCAGATTGCAAAACCGCAGGTTTTCGTACACCGCTTCTCGTATTTCTGCTTCGGCGCTTGTAAAAATAGATGAAAGTAAAATATGAATTTTTGATTATTCACATAATAATTATCGGAACACGCGACACAGCGGTGATTATATTCGGAATACTTTTTACAGCTTAAATGACGAAAGATACCTTTTTAAGTTTTGTTGACAAGTTGTTGGGTATAAATAAATCTCTAAATAATTCGTCACAAATCTCGCGGACTTGTATTAATTATTTTTTCAAGAGACGCTTTTACGATGGAACGGCGAATGCGCTTTTTAAGCGCGGCGTTAAACGAATTATTTTTGTAGCCAATGCCACCGTTGCAAATTTGATGAACTCTCGCGATCGATATGCCAATATCATAGCTGTCGACGTCAAGGTCCCGCGTCTCTCGTCGATGTTGTGCATTATTAATATCAGTCTGATTCCGAAATTAACTGCATTATCGGGGGTCGCGGCGCGAAAATGACGGTCGGTTCTCCGACGTACGAGTCCTCGAGACGACTTTTGTTCCATTATGGGAAGATCGCCGTGAGATTCTTATCGCGATGAAAAATCGATGACGTCTGAAGGTCTTGTCGAGACGGCCTCGCAATTGGAGAGTAACGGCGTTTCTCGCTGATCACCGCGAAATCTAAACCTCTCCGTCAACAAAGAGATAGGCGCTAAAAAAGAAGATGGAGTGCAGTGTGTTAGCTGGAGCGCGAGGAGAGCTCTTTCCCTGTTAAAAACCGGCATTAAAGATTACATCTTAAAAGGTAACATCTCTCCCGCTCTCCTCCTCTCCCCTCTCTCTCTCTCTTCCTCTCCCCTCTCTCTCTCTTCGTTTCGTTTCTTTTCCTCTCTTTTCGTTTTTAACGGCGCTCGCGGTATCCGATGAGGCGTTGAGCTCGCCATTCCGAAAGGGTGGATTAGCCGAAGGCGGTATGAGACTTTTTTTTATATAACGAAGGGCTGCGCCTCGATGGAAGAGAACGAGGTTTTTACAATGAGATAGCGATACCACCCTTCGATCTGCGAGTTTCCACGAAACCACCCTCGTCCGTGCAATTTCCTGTTTTTCTTCCGCGCAATGCCTTTCCCGTTAATATTATTTTACACATCCTCCGCAACGTTTAAGCAACGTTTCCTGCGTTTTATTATAAAGTTTATTGCTCTTCTTTGAGATTCTTTATCGGAACGTGATATATTAAGATCTGACTAAATTTGCGAGACGGTATTTAATAATGGAACCATCGCGTGAATTCGATTTCAAGGATCTTAATATAAAGATCCTTCGAATTTTTCGAGGTGTCAAACGGCAGTGCGATGTACCGTGCAATTAATCGCGCTTCCCGTCGGTGTTCCGCGAGGAAAGTTTTTCTACAAGTCCCACGTTGGAACAATGATTTCGTATCAGTACAATCGGGCTTAAGAAAGACCGTTTCAATGCGAGAGAAATCTTGGCCATCGTGTGGTAACAGTTTCACGTTTCCAACAATGCACGCGCTTAATGGTCCGTTGTGAATTATGAATTACATGTCGTCTTTTAATTAAAAATAATTACATTATTATATTTACAATTATTATTATTTTTTTAATTATAAGATCCGAGGAATAATTCGGATTTCTTTCTCGAAGCGAAATATTAAATGGACGAATTCACGTCAAAACTCATAGCAGGTTGTCTCATTTTGGACATTAGAGATATATTTTTGGCACGAGAAAAGTACGATGCATTTTACGAAAATTATTTCGTCGACGCAAACGCCGGAGAAAAACGAAACGCTCCCCGCATTTTCTGTCTCTCCGATATTTGTCAGGCCTGAATTCTTTTGTTCTGGCGCTTCGAATTAGCTTGTTCTCTTTCTCGGCTCTCTCTCTCTCGGCTCTCTCTCTCTCTCTCTCTCTCTCTCTCTCTCTCTCTCTCTCTCTCTTTTCATCTCTTTTTCGCTGCACGTGTGTTTCACGAACGCTGATTAAAAGTAAAGGCGGAAAAGAGAATTCGCTGGATCGATAAACGAGAAAGAACTGTAACAAGATCACCGCATCACAGGTCGAAGCACGAAATTGAGTTTTGATCCAATCGCGCGCCGCGACCCGACGTCGAACGTGTATGCCCTCGGAATTTTCTTCTCGGGATTCGAAAAATTCTCTCTCAATGACGCCCTTCGTCGATAATTCATCTCTGTGTCGCATGCGAATGCGTCGTTTGTGCCTCTCTCGTCTCTGCGATGTAATTTTCTCGATGCTTCACATATATCTGATTCTCGACGAAAGAGAAACTTCGCACAATTAATCGGTCATCGAAATACGCGCGAACAATTTATGAAACTCGACACGTCGCACGACGGCGCAAATTGGAATGAAAGAAGCTGTGAAAATTCACTTCTCTCACCGAGCGAGTAAACACGCCCGGCATCGATGATAAACCGCGTATTACAGCGCAATCGTTTCCCACGTGGCGGAACATTTATTGCGCTCTGCGCCCGCACGGCGTCGAAATGGCACTTAATCGCCGTCGTGTATAATAAATACTCGATGAATATGCACCATGTGCATCGCGCTCAGTATCTATATGTTCCAAGGTAACTAAATACACTTGGATAAATTAATATGTCGCGATTAAACGATAAAACGCGAGCGTTAAAATAATTATTCATTATCCCGGTATTTTTCGTTCCATAATTATTTTAAAAAACATAAGCTGGAGATTAAACGTGGAAAAATTGAAAGAGAACAAGAAAGATATGGCAAATGTAATTCTCAGAAAGTTACGCAGCTAAGTTTTAATTATTATTCGAGAAGAAAGGATTGGTAAAAGCACTTTTTAAAGATATTTACAAAGTTTTCTACGATCGGCTGTTCATTTTCACTCGCGTACAAACGATTTCTTCACGGAATGTAAAAAGGCTATCCGCGGAAAGAGAGAGAGAGAGAGAGAAAGAATGCGAGGTGCGTGTATATTTAAAATAAACTCGCGTGTCAGGCGTAAAACCGCATGTGCGACGCCGCGGACGGAACGGGACGAGTGACACACATCGCGGTGGATGATGTTATTCGTTCGTTCATTTTTCACACCGCCGGCGATGTACGGATACGTAGATTCCTTTTCTCCCATTTTTCTTTTCTTTCACCTTTCGAACCGCAACGTGGAGTGTGTCTGCACGCGCAGTGGCACTCGGCGCGTCACTGAAGTCGCGGCGTCGCTCACGCGATTCGCTTCATTCCCAGACGAAATGCTCCTCGTGAAATGGATACTTCGCGATTTATCCGGATTTTGACAACGAGATCAATCGCGAACGAGAATCGTCGCGATTTAACAATTTTTTGTTAGTTCTAAAAATTGAAAGAAAAAAAAACTCGTGCAGTGCAAATTCATCGTCTTTCACTTTTCTCGTTATTGAATTAGTCTGTGGTCTCTAATGGAAAATCCCAAATGTCGATACGTGTCTGGTTACGTAGCTGTGTTTTCTCGTGTTTGCTCGTCATAAACCGAGCGCTGGTCGCGAAGTGCAGTGCACTGTACGTGTCACGTTAACGCAGACTCAAAACGAATTGGAAGCGAACGTTCGTCAGCGCGAGGAGGGAGGAGCGTGGGAGGAGGATGCAGTCGTTCAAATCTTGGGAAACCAGAACTCTGGAGAGACTGTCCCGACAGAGACGCGAACGCCGCGAAATGTCGCGATGGTATATCTAAAATTGCGATCTGCCTATCTGTCTATTATAATAAACGCAATTAACAAACGGATAAAACCTGCTTTGAGTGCATGTCTTAAAAAATCTCATTGTACACGTCGAGCGAGAATCGTGGTTTTTCATTCACCTCAAGTTACGCCGCGAAAATGTCTTTTACACGAGAATTGAAATAGTGTCAAGGCACTTTAAAAGTTGGATAACTCGACTTTGATAAATAAAAGCCGTTCGATCGGTTCGCCAGCACAATCGTGGCGCATCAATAGCGTGACGATGAAAATGCGTTGAACCCATTCGAGTGCAATGGCCGCGAGTATCAATCGCGCTTCCAATGGAAGCTTTCGTCCGTCGCAGGACAAGCGTCCGCATCGCCGGAAGCAAGCTCGCGCCGACGACGACGCTATATGTAATCCATTAATATCGCGCGCGGCGGACGTTGCGGCGACGCGCGGGACGGGACGAGAGGTAATTAATGCGTGACGTTTAATTCACGACGGTTAGTCCCTAAACCGGCGACTCTATTGTTTCGAGAGATAGAGACGGATATTCTGGGCGTCTGTCCTCAGGGTCAGGCCTTGGCGGTCGCGCGTTTCAGCGTGTATTGCCCGAATCGAAAAGTGCACGAGCTCGAAAATAGCTCGATCGATTTTGTAGAATATTTAACTCGCATTCCGCATTCGTTGCTTCTAGCATTTCATATGCAATGAATTGTTATATTAAATCCGGATTATCGTAAATCCGTATTTCATCGTATATCGCAATTTTGCGATTGCGAGTGATGCGAGCGTAACGATCGTCGGAATTTTTTCCGGGCGTCTCGACGCGCGGCGAAATCACGAAGGTCGAGGCTGGCCGGCTTAACGATTTTCCGGGGATATCTCCGGCAGCGGCAGACGGCTGTAACTGGTGAATCTTTAATTTTGTCCTGTCGAGCTGTGCGGCCCGCTGGATAGCGGCGGGGCGACCGCTCGCTCCGCGATTTTCAGCCGTGCGCGTTCGCGCGAACGAATTCGCGTTCCGCGAATCCGCTCTTCATCGGGTCGCGGCGGCGTCGCGGCGGCGTCGCGGCGCGCCCGATAATCAAGAGTGACGGGCCTGCTCTCGTCCTTCCAGCCGGTTAGACGATTATTTGAGCATCGTAAATGGACGGAGGAGCGACCGAATAGATGATATGACAAGCGCCTGCGCTCGTAGCCGTCCCTTTTAATTAAATGAATCTCGACGGTATCGTTAAAATGAGGGAGTGCCTTGGCGGAGCGATCCCGTCGCGAGTCCGTTTGTGTGTACACGTCGAGCGATCATCATTGTCGGCTTCGGGAAAGTTCGCGCCGATCATTTACATAATGGATTATTAAATACTCCCGTTCGGATATAGCTATCGATAGGACTCTGGCTGTCGTTGTCCGACAAGCTCGATGCTTTTCTACGTTTTACTGTTTCCTGCCTCATCCTCTCCGCGTGGTCTTTGACGCATGAATTATTCAGGAGATGAATTATTCATAGAAAGAGTACTTAGTTTTCGTAATACACATTTCGCTTAATATACGACGGGCGATTTATTATTTGCGATTTGCGTTAAACGGTCGAAACTCGGCGCGATTGGCAGTCACGCGGAAATTTGTTGGCGTCGAGCTCCTATGCATTTTCGACGAAACACACCATTGTTATTCGCGCTCGCGGCTCGAAGACGTGTGACAGAACGGCTTCTGACGGACGGTTTCTCCCGAATTTTCAGCCAGGACTTATTGACGGTATGCCGGGAATTGAACCTCGAGAATTCAGTGGAGGAATTGATGAGGGAATTGGGCGCGGACGAGCACGGTCGCATTTCCTATCAAGAGTTTCTTAGGCGGCGTCTGGCCTTGCGACCGGAAATCGAGGCGCTTAGGGCCGGAAAACGGCGAAGCAGTCCACATCATACTCACACGCCGGAATACTTGCCCACCAGCAGCGACAACAGTCTCGGTAAGAATTTTCTGCAAATCCTTCCAATTTTCGCGACAAATGTCTCCTTTCCGTTTTTCGCGGCGAAAAATCTTTCGATCGAGGAAAACGAGGGAAATCCCGCGAGAAGCGGCGGATACAGTTTTGTTTGTTTGACTCTAAACGCGCAATTGGACAACGTTTGTCGATCGAAATGCCGAGATCTCGCGATGTATCCAGCACGTTGCATGTTGCGGGGAAATAGAGCGAGAGCTATTTGCTCGAAATTGATGATTGATAGAACAATGAATATGAGATCGTGGAAATACCGCAGTGGCATTTGTAATATCGAGCGGGTCAACGTGTAACGGGACGCGATATGAGATCGACAAATGAATTGGAAATGATGGTTCGGATGATATCGCGCCGTGCGTTTTCATTTCTCGCTAACGAATATCAGTTTTTATTGGTCGAATCATAAAAAAAAAAAAAATTCGACTCTTGCTTTTCCAATAATTCACTTAATATACGATATAATAACATTCGGCCGATTTTCTCTCGCAATAATCTATTCCGCGCCGTCAGTTCTTAGAAAGTGAATCATCCGTTCGATTACTTAGGTCATGTTTGCTCATGTTTCTCCGCGTTAAACGCTGTTTACACTGCACGAATGCGTAATTTCTATTTCAGGAACGGTTTCGGGACGACATGAGAGTTGGGAATTCGACAGCGGTGCCCGTGATTTGTCACCGGAACCTCATAGCCTTCAGAAGTTGGTGGAGGCGGCTGCCGGTGGGACAGGAAATATGCTGGATCTCGCGAATAAGGTGAGTCGCGATGATTTATTTCCCTCGACAAAATCACTATCAATATTTGTATTGGAGGTACGCAAAAGTTCATGTACAGATAAGTCGTCCCAAAAACTTCTTCTATCAGTATGCATCTTTTGCCTAAAAGTGGTAACGACAAAATATTTTGACTAAAAATATCGTATTATTTATAAAATATTGCTAAAGCAAATTGTTTGAAAAACAATGGAATCTTTTGCATATCCTTTAATATCTTCGAAATCAAATTATTCTCTCTCTCTCTCTCTCTCTCTCGGTGTCAGATTTCAAGCGCGATTCGCTCGTGTGATATTGCTTGGCGAACGTCTATCTTACCGTTATAAACTCCGATAGAACCTGTCGTATTTATCATTGCGCCACACGCGTGCGTGTGGACGGAAAAAATTGCAAACTGCCGTCTAAATTTCAGGAAGAACTCGTGTGCGTGACATGCAATAAATAACGCAGTGCGTCCGTCCAGTTAAAAAAAATAAAATTACTAAGAAATATCGACAATATTTGAATTAGAGAAAAAAGCTTGACTACATATAATGGAGTGATGGAGCTTTGAAGTACTTTTACTTGTTCGTATAACACTTGCGGTGATGAAAAGTCAACGAGACGCGCAATTACCCGAGGCAAATTGTCTTTGCATGCCGATAATCTTCCGCTTTCCTTGGCGAGAGCACTCGTTCGCTTAACTCCTTCGTCTCTCGCGTTCGTGCCTCTCTATTATTTCCTTCTTCGTATCTCAAGTTCGCGCCTGGGAATTTCTTTGTCAGCCGCAATTAACCACGATACCACCGAGGTGCGGTATGCCATCGCGAAAGATGGCAAGACGTGCAATTTCTACATTCCCTGCTTTTCCCCGTCCGCTCGTCGATCGCGCGCGGGTTCGGTATCGAATTACGAGGTATAGATTAACGCTGTACATCCAACTGATATTCCATCGTTTACGCTCAGCCTTGCTAAATTTATCGCTGCAGAATATAATTAATTTATTATAAAATTTAAAAGGGTTGCAGAATATAATTAATTTATTATAAAATTTGAAAGGGTTTGATAAATTATTAAATTGATATTCAAATTGTAATTACTAAAATTGTTTTTCTGAAAAAAATAACGAGAAAAAGAATTTTTTTTTTTTTTAATTAAATTTGAGACAGTTAAATTTTTAAGCTTTTATATGAGCCATCAAAATTTATGTAACGTATGATATTTTTTAATTTTTTATTTCGGCAGAAAACCTGCCACTTCACAAATTTCGATTTCATTGATAAAATTCGGCTCACGACCTGCTTGTATCCGCGAATATGTATTCTCACCTCATTTTGCGAGTCACGGCAGCTGCGAAGAAACGAGAAATAAAAGCGGTCGTCCGAATTCCGTGGTTATCACGATTTCTTGCGTCTCCACTCTCGCGTTTCGAGGAACGAGAACAGGAGAACAGAAGAAGGATGATTCGAGGAAAGAAAAAAGAAACTCGTGCCGTTTACTGCCTATAAATAACCGTTATTACGCTCTGCATTACGGCATCGAAAAAGGGAGAGAGCTGCAGCAGCAGACTTTGGCTGCTTGGAGAACATTGCGCCGTACGCGACACGTGAGAGAATTCGTTGAAAAATTATTACGAAACAATATATAGAAAAAATATATGTAAGTAGTGACATATGCATATAACATTTTTTAGAAATTAAGGGAAAAATATTTCACATTCAACGCGCATCTCTTTTATTCGCATTTTAAGAAAATAATGTCGAGAATTAACGCGTTCTAGTTGATATTTTTTTATCCCTTTTATCGTCCAGAGCCTGTGAATGTGCAGAAAGCTTTACTGCGTCGCGTTACAATCTTGACGGAGTTGAAAGAACGTTTATTTCCTGCAGAAACGCAAATATGCAATGTTTTAGGCCGCCTACTTATCTATCTATGCAGCAAACCGTTTTCTTAAGCGAGCCTGCTATTCTCTGTATTACGTTGCGTAAAATGTGAATTACCATAGAAATGGAATAGAGAAGTTCTAAAGAGGGGCAGGAGTAAAGAGAGGAAGAGAAAGGAAGGAAAAACGAAAGAAAAGAAACTTGGGGAAAGAAAGGAGAAGAGAAAGAAAGAGACGGTAAACTGCGGTGCTAATTTCCTTCGTTACTCCTTCGTTACTCGCGAGAAAATTGCTGAAGCTGAAAAGCTACGAACACCGCGAAACGATATGCTAACTCTAATGCGCATTTGGGATCGCAACAAATACTTACGTGCGAAATTAATTCGTATATACGTATCTATCGCGCTCTGGAATAGTTTGTAACAGAGATTTAAAATAGAAATGCTCCAGACGTCTGCGAGACATTGTGTAAGAATGAAGATATTATACAAGATTAATAATTCTCTGACGATGAAATTAGTGCCGCGATGATAAAAATTAATCGAGAAAATCTTGAGAAGATCTTGGAATCTTGATAATAATAAATATTTCATCCTGCGTAAATAAAGAAATGTGATAAACTTGACGCATTTTCAAATGCGCGATTCTCTTATATATCTTCTTGTAAAATAGCATCTTTGATTGACGATTTATGGCCGCAGCGTGTGTCGTGCAATTTCCGGAAATGCTGTTTCCCGATTGTAACAAAGTGCCTATAAAAAAGAGGGAGAAGAAAGCGGGACGGCGTCGTGCAGTCGATAGTTCCGCGGAAAAGGACAGATTGTTATCAGAGCGTGTAAAGAAAGATGCGCTTGTCGAAGCGGCGGCCCCGTAAAAATGAAGGCAGATAGGTGTAACCCCCGAGGTAATAACCGCCGCAATAAGATTCCGTAATTTCTTCCGAACAAATGAGCTGCGAGCGATGCGAATGCGCGATAATCTGCCCCGGTCGATCTCCGCTCGAAGACGGGAGATATCCTGCGAAAGACGATGTTTTTCTAGGGCGGCCGATCGTTATTTTCCATCGCGACGCCCACATCCCTTTTCCCGAGGATATTTACTTCCGCCCTCTCGTCGGCGGACCCCGAGAATTTCATACATCGCCGTCCCCCGCGCGAGTCCCGCGCTATGAATTTTCCCGGTGCGCTCGCGTGACGCAATAAACCGCGGCATTGCCGTAAAATGACTTAAATTGCGCCGACACGTGCGCGATACGATTTTCGCACGCGGATAAGAAAGAAATCTTAACAATTAATCAGCATAAATAATGGACTTGAGTATAAATAGCAAATGGGAGCGTAAGAAAGATCGCTTTTTCCGATTTTTAATCATTATGGCGCAATCTAATTCCGTTTTACGGTGTGGACGAAGGCGATACCGTATCCGCACGAGAGTGTGAAAATATTCGCGTGACGGCCGCGAAACGTAGGAGTCTGCGTTCTTAATTATGTCTTGTTTTCCATCGAGCTCGCATTTGCTGATGTCACGCTCTGCTTGGTACGTCGACATTTATAATCGCACAAGTGCGAACAGCCGGCTCGAATATAGATGAAAGAAAGACGGATTTTTCCTCACCGTCGAAGTGCGCTCCACATTCCAGGATCGGCACGCAAGCCGCCCCGGCCGAGAACTTTTGCGAAAAGCTATCGCCGACGTCCAACCGTCTTCCTTTGTCTCCCTCTTTTTTTTTTTGCCTTCCTTCCGCGGGAAGCGCCACGCCGTCGCGTTAATCGAGAAATTAGCGAAGTTAATTAAGAAGCCGCACCCAAGCCTCCCGCCCACATAATTACACTAATACAATCGCGCTCCCGCTTTCGGTCCTACTCGGCTGCCTTCTCTTCCGTCCTCATCTTGCCGCGCGTCGACCTCATCTCGCTCGGCGGCGTTGAAAATAAAATCGCGCATACTTGCGAATATTTACGTTTAACGTTATTCCGCAATTATACTTATATCAGAGGCCCGTGATTTATCGCGATCACAAGATTAATGACTTGTCGCGGATGTAAGCGGCGCGCGTTGTAAGAACGGAACACGTCCGTACGATACCACAACGAGAGGGTTTTTGCGGCAACGTGCACTCTTAACGAGTTATGCGAAAGAACTTAGGATAGGCACTTACGCCGATCCTAATAATCTCGCTTAAGTGTCGCTATTCGGTTAACCGCTATAGTAATCTTCTCGCGGCTCGTAGCCGCGCGCGCTGCGTGGTGCCGTAATAGTCACGTTCTCTCCTCCCCTGTGATTATGTCAGCTGCGGGTTCTTGTCGCTTCACCTTAAAGGGCATCCGTTCTCAGGATCTAATGGATTCGTTTTATCTTAACTGTTCCATCTCGATCCACTCGTCGAACAAACAGAGCTTGCACCGGGCTCGCGCGATTGCCGCTATCTCGAACGCGCAATCGATATGGCTTTTATCGCATTTATCGTGTTTCCGTATTTAATAGTATTACGTGCACGAGTACGGAATAATCAAGGCTTCAAATTTAATTAATTTATTAAAATATGCAAGCTTTCGTCGCTCAGATAGATCGCTTCAAAAAAGGAAGACTTTTATTCATCTTTTGCGTAAAAAGTGGCAAAAAGTAGTAAATAATGCCGGAAAAAGTATTTTAACTAAAAATATTGTATCACTTACAAGATATTATTAAAGAAAATTAATCCTTTGCGGTTCTTTCTTAAAGTAGACTGCGCATAGTGTTTTATGACGCATCCTACGCAATCCTACGCAATCCTACGCAATCCTACGCATAATTGAGCAATACATAATTATAATTCTATAACTATGTTGTTTTTATTTTGATAAAATTTCTTACATAATAATAGTTAATTATTACATTTGTCTTATTTGATAGCATTAAAATAAAGACGAAATATTTAATATTAACTTATTTGCGTCAAAATTAATTCGGATTAGTTTAAATCTTGGAATGGAAACTTTTGCATACTCTTGATATAAATAACATTTTATTGAAATAAAATGCAGCCAGCTGTATTTAAAAAAGTACACGGAGAAAATTCTATACAAAAAATTACTATGATACGGCAGTAGAGCCGCGGATCATAAGAGGAATTATAAGTTTA